GGGGGGGGGGGGGGGGGGGGGGGGGGGGGGGGGGGAGGCGGAGGGAAGATTCTCTTTGGTGGTTTCGTCGTTCATCAGGGTGTTAAAGTTCGTCAATAGCATCTTTTTTATCTGATGGTTCAATAGATGGTACGTCAACACAGAGTTAATCCTCTCTGTGCCTTTGGTTGCTGGGTGTTGGATAGCATTTCCTTTAGTCAGCTCTTTCAGGCGTCTGCTGCAGTTGGGAACCGTGATTTCCAACGGAAAGCATATGAAATAAGTAACTTTTAGAGAATGGTAGAAATGAGCAAAAAACTCGCATGATGCGTGACACTATGACCATAAACCAAAACATGAGGCCGAAGGCTCTTTTGGTCTTTTCAAAGTGTCAAACAGTAGCTGGTTGGCTAAACGTCGTTCTTCAGTAGATTTTTCTTCATCCATTGAAGAAGGGGTAAGCCCGAAACGTTTAGCAAGCCAGCTACTATTTGACACTGTAAAGAGCCTTCAGCCTCTTATTTTATCTTTTAGAGAAGCCCGGATAATCTCGCACACCTCTCGACTCTTCTCGAAGAGCCTTCACCCTGCGGGTTATTTGAAGTATGTGCCTGTGTCAACAGATACCGGAGTAGTCGCAAGAGACTGGGCACCAATGTTGAATGGAGCAGAGTTATTTTGTGCATCGAAGCAAGGTTTTAAATTGATTGCTTTGCTATTTTTGGCCATGTTGGACTGAATCGTCATATCTTTCGGACATATTGAGCTGTTGAAATAGAAGCTACTTTGATCTTGCTAGAAAATGAGTCAGATTCCTTCAGGAATTTCGCGTTTAAAGACGCCGAGTAGAATAGTGAAACCGATACAAGGCGGGGGTGTTGGTGTCGCTGGTCAATCTTCTTCTTCAGTTAAACCACGTGGCGCTGTAGCTGCTTCTTCTCAGGCAACAACATCAACAGGACAGCCAAGAACTAATCCTTTGGGTTCTAAACTGAGCCAGACTCCAAGTGGACCAGTGAAGAGGGGACTGCAGGCGAGTGATAACGGCAGACTAAATACCAGTCGTGAGCGCTTAGTCAGTCCTCGAGGCTCAGTTACTGGCGGGCAAATTGCACAACCGAGACTACCTTCAAGGGAAAATTCACAATCGAAACTGCAATACAGGAGAGAAGGTTCTAGTTCTTCTCTACGTGGATCATCTTCAAAGACAAATTCATCGCAAAGTGTTGTCAAGAGACGTGGCGAAACTTCTCGGACTTCAGAAAGTCAAGCGGCGACTGACTCATCTAAATCAAGTTTGCTTAACTTCTTCAAAATAGGCGATCGTGTCCTGGTAGGAAACACCAATCCTGGAGCTATAGCTTTTATTGGAGAAACTCGGTTTGCTAAGGGTGAATGGGCTGGTGTTGCTCTAGACGAACCTGTTGGCAAAAATAACGGTAGTGTTCAAGGAGTACGATATTTTGAATGCCAAGCCGGTCATGGGATATTTACAAAACTTGAGAAGCTCACAAAAATTAACCAAATTCCGAACGACGATCAGGGGACTTCAAGACATGAAATCAAAACTGGGAAAACAGAAGCTAAATTTAATATTGGCGACCGCGTTGTGGTTAGCGGTACAAAACACGGTGTTGTGAGGTACCTTGGTGAAACTGGTTTTGCCAAGGGCGACTGGGCTGGCATTGAACTTGATGAACCTTTGGGAAAAAACGACGGAGCAGTAGCCGGAAGGAGGTAAAAAGAAGTCTTCATCTAGTTATTTGTAGCTTTGAAGAATTTGCACCGTTTAATTTTCTGGATCCATTGATCAGGAGAGAAAAATTTACTAAATGGTGTAATCACCTTGCATTGCCTTATAGGGCCCGGTTGTTTATATTACGCTTATATTCCCTGAGGTGTTGGGTTTTAGATGGATTCTTTAGCGTCATCAATGTTTAATTTCTCGAGATTATGGTTAAATTTGGATTCTATTTTTGAAATCCTGTTTCCAAGTTTTTGACTTCGAATTTGTAATTATGGCGCACGTAATGTTTTCCTTGTTTCTGTACACTGCCACCTAGAATTGTCTGCAACGACTTTAATTACGCTTGGCATGTCGCTTTTGAGTGTCTGAGAAAAATTATAATTACATGTTTACAACGACTTAACCATTTTGGAATGGCTTTGATTATCCATTTTTGGGTTTCAATTAAAACAAAGATATTCCAACTTTTTTTATTCCAAATGTGACCATATTCAAATTGTTGGATAACTGGATTCAGATATGTACTTTTTTGACATAACCTGAAAATTCTGATACTGAGCCCTTGGCAAGGCTTCCTGGTGGCTTATTTTTGGAGTGGGGGATATCTTTGGATGGAGTTTTGCATTTCAGCAATGTTAACAACATACAATATAAAACAAGTTACGACTGCAATACTGAATAGGGGCTAAAAATCAGTCACACTTGTCTTGACCTGTCTTTAAAAAGCTACAAGGCAATGGGTTTACTGGTTGTGGGGAACGTTACATATGTAGCTGAGGGAGGAGGGTGTTGGACAGAGTGGATTACAAAAGATGATGATAATTGTTACTGTCATAATTCGAAAGTGAAAGTGCCACAATATTTATTGTTAAGCAGCAGTAAGGTAAATATATTCTTAAGGCCAATATTCACCAAGATTACTGGTTGTAAGTGATTTAGTGTGTACCAATGAGGCATACTTGTTTAGTCTTACATGTGATCATATAGAAAGGAGTGAATATAAATTGCAGAGAGTTAAAAAATCAGCAAGTCCATGACATTCCTTGGAACCATATATTAGTGAGGTTCGATTTATACAAACTACTCACTTGTGTTGACAGTTATCCTCACCCAGAATTACAGTTCATTTTACTGGTTTGTGATGATTTACTAGTGGATAAAGTGATTTTTAAAATACTCTTGAGTGTACCAAATTGTACTCATGAATAGATTGTCTGAATGAGTGAACTGTTATCATAATTGAGGTCTTCCAAGGTGTTAAAGCAACAAGCGACACAACCCTGAAAACCATCGACACAGGAATTTCTAATTAGCGACAAGTAAATCAAATGTGTCACTTAACTTCGACAGCGACACAAGAAACACTAGAAAAGACAGCAACATTGACTCCTTTGGACTTTTTTCCTAGGTAGATATTGTATTCTATTACATGTATAAAGGCTGTAAACATCAGAAACTTGTTTGCTTTTCCATTGAATACGTTTCTCGGGGGAAACTTTCGCGGTTCCAGTTGTGTCGCCAAAAACAAAATGCTTAAGATGGGTATTTTCACAAAGGACGGCACTGTCAATAATGCGAACTTGGTACAACCTGTTCACAGAAGCAATGACATCCTTTAGACTATAAAAGAGATGATAGAAATCGTATCCTATTAAGCTTAAACGATAGTAAACAGTGATGCTGAATTTTATCTTTATAAGCAAAGCAAACATCTGTCAATATTTTAGTAGAGAAACCAGAATTTCCGTATGAAAAATTAAATGAACAATCTGATCGACCAGCTTCAGATTGCTTTTTGCCACCAGAGCATTTGAGAATTCTGTCGCCGACTTTTGGTGAACATTTCAATTTCCATCTGTGATTGTAATAAGCACTATAAAAATAAAACAAGCATTTCATCAAGTTCTGGGTAGCATAAAAAAACAGCAACTAAACATCAGTTTGAAAATGTGTATTTTATTTGCTAGATAGATGCTCCATGGCATTCATCCTTATAACATTTTATTGGCTGTACTTACACTGGTGTATTGTCAATGCATACAGTTTGTATTTCGTTTTGAGCTTGCACACTCTTGACAGTGACTGAACAGTGTGACTGAAACACAAACAAACAGACGAAGAATATATTTATTCACATTTTCGTATCTCAGCTTAGTATTCTACACTACAATCATGAAAAATGTGAACCTTATAAACATTCCTATCAATATAACTGAAAATAAGGTTGGTTGGAACATTTATCAGGGCAAAACAAGTGCAAATACTCACCTTCTCTATACGACGGCTAGTCGGGTGAAATGGCGTCCGAGACGAGGACGGCAGACAGGTGAGTCAAGAGTTCTTGTGCGCATGCCTGGTTGAGTAAATTTACTTCTGGTAGCCATCCTAGCTCATCCCATCCTGGTATCTTAAGGTGCCAAATAAACATCGCATGACAGTCCCAAAAATCTCAAATTGCCTGTATTGGTGACCTTTGGTCTTTGATATATATGGCACGACAGACACGTGACTGACCTCTTGTGACTGGTCATTTCCACTGCCGGCAAGCGAGAGTCCAGGCTAAGGCTGTCAGAGTTGGTCTGGTCTGATCTATCAGAGCTGATCGACAGGGTAGTAATAATCTTCCTGGGTTTTTCATGAACTAGTGATCACTCATCAGTTAGCTACAGTTTTTCTGATTTTCTTTCTCTCCATGGGAAAAGATGGAAAAGCTAAGGAAAGCACAAACCCAAACGCAAATCCAAAAAACAAAAAGAAAACAAAAAAAAAAAACCGAGATGGCCAAAGAAGACATAAGCTTCAATCAGACTGTTCTCACAGTGAAGCAAAGTTTAGTACCTGGACTCCATGAAATCCAAAGCTCATCACCTTTCTATCTCGGAGTTGTTACCTCTACCATAGTCCAAAATGAACACGAGTGTCATTTATTCAAGATCAACATTTATCGTGCATTGTGCACTTTTTGTTCGTTACCATTTTGCTGATTTTGTACAACAAATTGCTTTTGCTTATTTTTGAAAATAGAGTTTTAAAAGTGTTCGAAATAGTTTTATGAACTTGAAGTGGATAAAGACCAATAAACCTCTAAGTAATAGAAGTTAAATGCAATCATGTGATAGTCGGACTTGAATGAATAGTATAAAATGATTATGAAAGAGGGAAACAGAGACAGACATAAACATTGAAAAACTAATGTTTAAACCACGAGTTGCATTATTTTAGAGGGTTAGTACCCTACAGGGGAAAAAACCTGTTAGCAACAGTGACATATGACTTCATCCAAAAAAATAACAGCGACATTTGCTTCCGCTGGTTCGGCAATATCGGTACACAAAAGGATGCGACATGTGACATGGGTACCCCCCTTGGAAGGCCTCATAACTGACAGCTATTGATAAGAATAAATTATTTTTCTGTGTGCATGGGATACAAGACAATATCATCTTGTATTCAACCTTACTCTTATTCCACAACTATCTTGGTCAACTTTTCACTTACACGTAATTGTATGTTTCATAATTTAAAGTTCTTTCTTGTATAGTAAATTTCAAACTTGATTCCATTTTGATTTTGTCACGGGAGACTAAATACTTGTGCTCTGAGCACTGTTTTTCATGTCAAGGCAAAGTTTCATGTATTGTGCTACATTGGTTTTAACTGCATTACTCTTTGAATTGCATTACATTTGATCAATTAATCTATTGAGGATCTGTTGAGTAATCGCTGAAGCAATGAGACTATAAAAAGTCCATGTTAAACCAACAAATTCAGGACATCTACTGCATTACCAAAGCCATTTCAATATGAAATATTAATTAATTAAAGATTGTTTAAAAATTGGTAAAAAGGAATTAAATGGTTGTCACTGGCTAAAAATATGGTTATCGGACATTTCGGCCACTACTGTTGCCTTCTTCAGCAAAAGATGGAAAATGCAAATGTTAAACGGCGTCCTGCTAGAATATGTAAAAGATGTGTGATAAAACTAAATGAGCAATAGTCTCTAGAGTATTCTTAATG